ACACACACACACACACAAACGAGAGCGAGAGCAACAACCAGCCAGTTTTCCCACACAGATAGATTCCCAGACAGAGCAGAAGGTTTGTTTTTCATGCCAGCTCCACCTCTGAACTACTGTTGTCTCTAAACCAGTCTGTCTTCCTCCACTACATTTAGCTCTGTCATCTGCCCTGCCAAGGTTTCAAGAGGTCAGCGCAACAGAAACAGCATCATCTCTGCTCTCTTTTTTTTTTTCTTTCTTTCTCTCTCTCTCTCTCTGACCAACTCCCCGGCTGTATTTGTTTCTTGTTTGGATCTCATAACCTGCAATTACAATTTTTGTTGAAAGCACGCTGTAATTTTGCATTGCAGAGGGGAATGTCTGCACTTTTGTCTTGCTTGCAGATTATCCCTCAGCCTGCAGACCTTGGTTTTTGATCCCCCTGTAAGATCCCTCGTCCGTTCTGCTGAAGTGCCTTTGAGCAAGACGCTAAATTCTTGCCAAACTTCAGGTAGACCAGACTTTTTTTTTCATAATCCGTGTTCCTCCCTCCCTATGCTCTCTTCTTTCTCTGACTCACTTTAATTTCCCCTCTCTCCCTGGCTGTGCAGGAACAGCAGGAGGTGTTCGTGGTGCATGGAGTCTTTCCTCCCTCGGTTGTTTTTAGGTGAAATATTTTCACCTAAAAGATTAAAGGTCTCTTCCCCTCTTTGTTTCTCACTCTCTCTCTGTGTTTCTGGAAGTGTGTCGTGCTGCAGCTACACTTTTAGGATCTTGTGCATTCCTATACTGAAGCATTGCAGGCAGGGCTGGGTGCACAGGATTAATTTCCTAGTTGAAAATGTCATGTGGGCTGGACTTACATTTGGACAGTCAAATTAAAAAGTCTGAGAAAATGTTTTACCTTCTTAACACAGCAGAATAATAATGATATGTCAGTTATTGTCAATACAAATGTACATAAATTTACTCTCTCATTAGATTTTTTTTAGTTATGGATAATTTTCGGAAGAACTGAGAAAATCTATCTTTTTTTTATTATTATTTGGTACTTCAACAATTTCGGATTGCACTTCCATAAATGTGGGGAACTCACAGGCAAGGTTGGAAAAAGAAGGGGCAAAATCAGAGCAGCAGAGACTGAGATATCCTGACTTTGATTTTTTTTTTAACATTGGTCAAAATCCAAAAACACTGGATTCCACAAATTCCCATAATGCAATTCAATAGCCCCCTAAATCCCTACTTCTTTCAAATCCCACACATCCAATTTGTAAAGCAGGCTTACTGTTAAAAATGTTTAAAGATCCCCTCAGACATGTATTAAGACATATACAAATAGTCTGTTTGGAACAATAATGTGTGTCAGATGGGTTTTTTTTCCAGTATCATTTCCACATGGAAACCCTTAATAAGGCATCTACCTCATTATAAATTCCACAATCTATGAATATGTAAATTTTGTTTGTGTCTTAAGTTTTCCTGCTGGTCACAAGATGTCTCCTACTTCACAGTAACGTCTATTCTCAGTGTACGTGCACTGGTGGCTTCAAGTTTCTACATCTTGCTTTTAGAAGTTGCATACTGGGCCGGGTTGTATGACCAGGATGAATGAGCAAACATCCTTCTAGTGTCAAACACATACATCACTCTGCACAGTTAAGATCACACTGTCGGAACAGGAAGAAAAACAGATTTTTGACTGGAGCGGAGGAGGGACTTTGAATTCCAAGCCCAAAGCCAAAATAACCCTGATAACATCTCTATGACATTATCTTTTTTATTTGGAAGGTTCACTCCAGAGCCATAAAACGCATTATACAACTGTTTTTACAGCCTAGGTAGTACTCTTTGTCTAAGTGTATGTCTCAGTTGTGTCGCAGGTTTGACTTCCAGCAGAATAGTGGGTAAAGGCAATTTAACACTGTTGTTGTTTCTCAGGTCTAGAACGTTCCCAGAAGGTGTAGGATGGATAGAGAGCACGTCAAACTCTACCAATGCTGTGAATTTGGTTTAGTAGTGACCTGGCAGGGTACACCATCACTCTGACAATGCAGTGCAGTCGGGTTCATACACTGTCTCTACCACATGGGGGCAGTGCAGCCACAGTTTTGACAGTCCCCCTCTCGTACATGTTTCTGTGTTTGTGTAACAGTGTATAAGTGAATCAGTGTCAGTGTTCTTGGCGACCGAGGCCTCCGTGTAAACACTGGTGTGTGTGGCCCTTAGCGGGGCCTGTCGCCCAGCTCGTCCTGCACCTCATCAAGCTCAACGGCCCACTTTGAAGTGTTGGTGCTGGATGCTGGGACTCTTCCCCCGCTCTGTCAACGGGAGGACAGACAGACAGAGAGAGAGGGGGGGAGAGAAGGGGCCACATCCTCCCACACACAGAGAGGGGATTCTTTTTGTTTATACTGGGCTGCTGACAGAAGTATTTTTTCTTATATGCCTAGCAATGGTTTCCAAAAATATTGTGACTGTGTTATACTTTATCTTTTTCAAATATTGTCATAATATTCCTTTAAAACATCTATAATGAGCTCATACTGTACCGTAAGGCATATTCCATCTCTAATAAACCTTTAATATTCCTCTAGGGACCTGTTGCTCTGCTGTGACATTTGTAAAATATCCTTCTAAAATTTCAGCTGGGTTGCTTCAATGCAATGCTGTCCCAGTGCCACATGCGATGCCGCCTAAATACATGGGGGGCGCTCTTGCTCTTCCATCGTGGCGTTGAGCCGAGGAGGGCGCACGCTGGTGAGCGTCTAGAGANNGGGGGGGGGGGGGGTTCTTCTTCTGCGTTTGAAAGGAGGTAGAATAGAGCGCCAGGGAGTCCAAAGGTCCGAGTCGGGGGGCCCCTGAAACCCAGAGAGGAGGAGGTGCTGAAAAAGGGCTCCATACCGCCCCCCCCGAAAAAAACCTGGAAGAACTGCGCTCCGTCAGTGCGCCCTGCCTGCCAGTCGGAGGATGGGGATTTTTTTTCCCATTCATCCACGTCCCCTTTTCCCTCCTCCTTCTCTCAAACAAGCCAGTCGGTCTGTCAATGTGCTGCGAGCATTAGGGCAAGTCAAAGCAGTGGGATTCTGAGGCAGAGAGACGGATGAGATAACGAATGAAGCGCTTTGCTCTGGCCGAGAAGCGACGCGTCCAGTTCTCCAAATGATGCGCTGCATCAGATAGGCGTCAATTTCCAACCGGGGCTCAAGCTCTCAACTCCATTCTTATTTCTGTTTTTTTTTTAATCACTTCACAAGTTTCACGTTGGCCTTTGTGCGACGTTATTAGAGTGGGGATGCTTTTCTAGCGCTTTGGGTTGTTTCTCTCAGTTTTCTTGTGTTGTAGCCTGAATTTATTCTTGGACTTATTATCAATTTGGATCCTGATTTCTTTGGGGGTTTTTTTTAATTTTCAACGAATCCGTTGCCGAAGGATTCGCGGATTTGCGGATTTACAACCCGTGTTCAACCAGTGTATTTTACAAAAGGGAGAATAAGGATTGTAATGCGCATTGACTAAACCCGCCGAGCATCAACATGTCTTTATGAGGATGGAGCTGTGGACACGAGTGGCATCTTTTCCATTTTAAACGCTTTGCCTTCACAGTTTCGGCCTGATCTCGGCTGTTTCCCTCCTCACAGACGGACAATATTTCCTCTCAGTTCCAGCCTGATATGTTGGAAGGTGGATCTTCTTGCGAGAAAACAAGGTAATGGGAGAGAAATCACACAGAGTCTGCACAGTGAACAAGGGAACATTGTTCGGTAAAAGACAATTAGGGCGCACCGAAAGGCAACAGAAATAGCTCTTTGGGTGGCGATACATTTCAGAGAATTCGATTCAGTGGAGTTATATTCGAGCCGAGGAGCATCGCTTTGGAAAAACGAGGACTAATGACAAATTAATGGGAAAGTCATGGGATTGGCACTGAAATAGTACGATCGTGGACGCGCACAAAAGCCGTCGTTTTTGGAGAGCCAGACGCACGGATCGAACAAGTTTCTCCTGCACATTTCAGTCCGGTTTTGGTTTGATCCAGTACAATTTGCTAAAATTGTGGATCCATGAGGTTGTACACAGCGGGCTTTCACTCCACACTTTGACTGCCTCTACCTATAGCCTGATCGGCTGCAGTCGCACATCCATTGTTTTGAGAGTCTCCCTGCAAACAGCATTGAAAAACCCAAGAAAATATCGCCCATTTCTTTTAAATGGGGCTGCATATGCTGGGTGTCAGGGTTGAAATGGCGTGTCGTGGAAGTGGGAATGGATTGGGGATCCTGCTGATATTCTTACTGGATTTACTGGGGTCGACGGCCAGCAATATGGAGCCCATCTACTGGAATTCCCTGAACGAAAGGTAAGCGTAGTTTTCACTTGCTGGTCTTACATTATTTTTTTTTTTTTTACTGGTTGCTTGATTGCAGGTTTGAACTTGAAGTTTCCAGCCCACGCACGGGAGAAAAAAAAACCCCGATTGAATAATTAGTTTAATTGCATGGTTTAAATGTGGCATGCAACTTCTGCTGAGAAGATGGGATTTAGGCAACATTTTAATGAATGCAAGTAAGTCTAAGTGCACTACTAAGTGGCTGGCAGTAATGCAACACGACACAGAAAACACCATAAAGTTGGATGGGGGCACCACAGAGTGGGGCCTACCGCAGACAGTCCCTGTGAGACTATTCATTATTTTTTATTTCTATTTTGCCAATTCGTTGTACTTTCCTCCAGAAAAATCACATCATCCTATCCTTGTTGTTTCGAATCTAACAGGGCTCCAATATAAACAGTGTAATTTAATAAATGTATACACTTTGAGCTGAAACAGGCTGCACCGTGGCACAGCTGTTGTGAATTTGTCACACTCGCATTGATTACTGTGGATGATCCAGCTGTAGTTGGTCTCATTGGTAAAGTCCCTGTAAGGTCCAACACATAGAAAGCTGTGTGTGGGATAATAAAGACGCGTGTGTGATGCTCTAATTGCTGTTGCTGGATGACCTTGATTAAAGTCTAGGCCCCGGCCCCGCAGGCCTCTCAAACACACCCCTGTCTGCCCACCCGGCCATGCGCGCTCATTTGCATTTTTTTCCCTTCCTTTTCCTCTGGAGAAGGTGTCAGGCATTAGCTGAGGAAATGTCATTTTAAACACCTCTCGGCCGTCCGGCCTTAACGACCGACACTACTTTTCTCACACCTATGCCAATTTCCCAGTGTCTGAAAAGACGCCCGGTTGTGGTGAAGGGTGGATAGGAAGGGGGGGGGAAGGGGGGGGGTGCTGGAGAATAACAAGGTAGCTTGTATGGAGGTGACACTGACTACATGTCTGGGGACAAACTGGGACAATGATATTTTCCAGCTTAATAAACAGTATATGTAGGCCACCAGGCTATTAGCTTGAGGGGAACACTGCTCCTCCCATTCCTTGTTGCCCACATTACTCACTTTGTGAAACAAAGAAATTACAAAAGCAAAAATCTAGACTCACTTCTCACCTAAGGCAGCCTAGCAGACCTTTCCATCCGCACCTCACTCCCATGCCAGAGGCTTTATTTAGGGACTAACAGGTTTTTAATGCGTCCATGTGCTGTAGGCTATACGGCCTGCCCGGTTTCTCCCCTTTCCGCAGATGTGCCTGTGCGTGGGCCCCCGCTGTGGAGCCAGGCATGAAGCCCTTAATGAGGGCTTTTTGTCAGCAGTGGGTGGATTCACCCAACAGGGAGTAGAGTTGGACACGGGAGGGTAATTTTCAGTGGGAAGCTAACAGCCCGGGCTTTTGAGGCCTTACAGGTGATTCCACGCCATTGTCTCCTAATGGAGTTTAGTGTTAGGTGGGTGTCAGGGCTTAGTGAATGGGCCTGGCTGGCAATTAGAGGGGTGGTGGCTTTGACGCCAGACTCCATATTCATTTCCACAGATTTGCTCACTCATATATTCAAAATACAAAGCCTATTGTATACTACGAGGCTTATTCATGAAGCTTACTATTCATAGTTAATCAGCTTAGTCATTCCTCCCATTTATTTTCTTGGCCCTTTTACACACTTCCATGTACTTGTTTCTCTTGGTCTCTATGTGACAAGGGCAGAACTTTAGTTTCAGCTGCCTCGGGGCAAAATAGGTTTTGGCCCTGGGCTGAAATATGTTAAGAGCCCGTCCTTCTCCAAAAAGTGCGCATCTTCCAAGGACAACGTCCGGAGCCCACACACATCTGGTTTGTACTTCTGAAATGAGGCGAAAAGTAAGCAGAAGCAGTAGTCTGTAGCAATCAGGCGCAGGAGCGCATGTATGGTTCACATCTTGTCTGTGTAGCAAATGGACTGTCACGTTGTTAACCTCCAGACCTCTGCTGGATGCACTGCTTTGAAGTTTAGACCGTCCACCAGCAGCCTCCCTCCACCTCTCCTCCCATCTTTCTTTCCGCCTCTGTGATCAATCTCCAACTCCTTCTCTTCCTCACCCTCTCCTCCCCTCTCTTCTTCACGCCTTTCAACCTCTTTCTTCCATTTTTCTTCCTCTGTTTTCAATGCCCTCCTACTCTCCCGCCCTTCCTCAGCCATCCCCGTCCATCTCTGCGTCTTTTTCCTCCTGTCACTTTTCCGTCCGTCTCTATCGCTCTACCTCGCTCCGTCACTCGCCACCCCACCCCACCCCCGGTGCAGTGACCAGACGTAGCAAATTGGAAACATGTGTCACATCCAGCCACTAATTATAGCGCTACAGCAGCCACTGACGCACTCAAAGATGTGTCAGGAGTGACAGAGGGTGAAAAGGGAAAGGGGGCACCCATGGGTGTAGCGGAGGATGCCTCAGACCCTGCCACCTGATTAATCCTTGGAACACACGATAAGGCTGACGTAAGTTACAGTAAAATATAGTATCAGAAAACACTTACAGTCATCAAGTGCTGCATCCACCCTTTTATTGACTGCTCCATCAGTTGGAATGACTGCGGCCTGGCAGAAAGAAAAGAGACAAGAGTTGTAGAGGGAGGAATATAAACAGAGACAGGTGCCAGAAGGTGAATGAGAAACAGAAGGAGCAGCAGGGAGAGCAGAGTGGGGGTAGAGACAGTCCTAACCCTAAGTAAATCAATACCAGTTAAGTCTCAAGTGCCAATACAGGTTCTGCTTGAGGAAGAGAGAACTGAACCAGAACGATCACCTTGGGAAGAGCTTCCCCCCTCAGACATACATTATCCTTATCTCAGCATCTCCTATTATCGGCCTTACACGGCCGCCCTAATGAAAGATCGAATCTTACATTACTGCTCAGGAGTTTCGGGGACGGTTGAAGTGGAGTGGGTGCTGGGGTGGCAGGTGACCCACACACACACACACACACGCGTTGACAATATTTATGTTTATATTTACACAATGTTCAGTGTTTGTTGTCGTCTGCAGGGTGTCAACAGACTTGTTTGTGTTCAGAGGAAACAGAATCAGACTGTTATTGTGACCTGTGACCTCGGCAACCCCATGAGACCAGGACACACAGTAACACACACACACA